TGAGCGAGAGTGTGAGCGAGAGTGTGTGCGTGAGCGAGTGAGCGAGAGTGTGAGCGAGAGTGTGTGCGTGAGCGAGTGAGCGAGAGTGTGAGCGAGAGTGTGTGCGTGAGCGAGTGAGCGAGAGTGTGAGCGAGAGTGTGTGCGTGAGCGAGTGAGCGAGAGTGTGAGCGAGAGTGTGTGCGTGAGCGAGTGAGCGAGAGTGTGAGCGAGAGTGTGTGCGTGAGCGAGTGAGCGAGAGTGTGAGCGAGAGTGTGTGCGTGAGCGAGTGAGCGAGAGTGTGAGCGAGAGTGTGTGCGTGAGCGAGTGAGCGAGAGTGTGAGCGAGAGTGTGTGCGTGAGCGAGTGAGCGAGAGTGTGAGCGAGAGTGTGTGCGTGAGCGAGTGAGCGAGAGTGTGAGCGAGAGTGTGTGCGTGAGCGAGTGAGCGAGAGTGTGAGCGAGAGTGTGTGCGTGAGCGAGTGAGCGAGAGTGTGAGCGAGAGTGTGTGCGTGAGCGAGTGAGCGAGAGTGTGAGCGAGAGTGTGTGCGTGAGCGAGTGAGCGAGAGTGTGAGCGAGAGTGTGTGCGTGAGCGAGTGAGCGAGAGTGTGAGCGAGAGTGTGTGCGTGAGCGAGTGAGCGAGAGTGTGAGCGAGAGTGTGTGCGTGAGCGAGTGAGCGAGAGTGTGAGCGAGAGTGTGTGCGTGAGCGAGTGAGCGAGAGTGTGAGCGAGAGTGTGTGCGTGAGCGAGTGAGCGAGAGTGTGAGCGAGAGTGTGTGCGTGAGCGAGTGAGCGAGAGTGTGAGCGAGAGTGTGTGCGTGAGCGAGTGAGCGAGAGTGTGAGCGAGAGTGTGTGCGTGAGCGAGTGAGCGAGAGTGTGAGCGAGAGTGTGTGCGTGAGCGAGTGAGCGAGAGTGTGAGCGAGAGTGTGTGCGTGAGCGAGTGAGCGAGAGTGTGAGCGAGAGTGTGTGCGTGAGCGAGTGAGCGAGAGTGTGAGCGAGAGTGTGTGCGTGAGCGAGTGAGCGAGAGTGTGAGCGAGAGTGTGTGCGTGAGCGAGTGAGCGAGAGTGTGAGCGAGAGTGTGTGCGTGAGCGAGTGAGCGAGAGTGTGAGCGAGAGTGTGTGCGTGAGCGAGTGAGCGAGAGTGTGAGCGAGAGTGTGTGCGTGAGCGAGTGAGCGAGAGTGTGAGCGAGAGTGTGTGCGTGAGCGAGTGAGCGAGAGTGTGAGCGAGAGTGTGTGCGTGAGCGAGTGAGCGAGAGTGTGAGCGAGAGTGTGTGCGTGAGCGAGTGAGCGAGAGTGTGAGCGAGAGTGTGTGCGTGAGCGAGTGAGCGAGAGTGTGAGCGAGAGTGTGTGCGTGAGCGAGTGAGCGAGAGTGTGAGCGAGAGTGTGTGCGTGAGCGAGTGAGCGAGAGTGTGAGCGAGAGTGTGTGCGTGAGCGAGTGAGCGAGAGTGTGAGCGAGAGTGTGTGCGTGAGCGAGTGAGCGAGAGTGTGAGCGAGAGTGTGTGCGTGAGCGAGTGAGCGAGAGTGTGAGCGAGAGTGTGTGCGTGAGCGAGTGAGCGAGAGTGTGAGCGAGAGTGTGTGCGTGAGCGAGTGAGCGAGAGTGTGAGCGAGAGTGTGTGCGTGAGCGAGTGAGCGAGAGTGTGAGCGAGAGTGTGTGCGTGAGCGAGTGAGCGAGAGTGTGAGCGAGAGTGTGTGCGTGAGCGAGTGAGCGAGAGTGTGAGCGAGAGTGTGTGCGTGAGCGAGTGAGCGAGAGTGTGAGCGAGAGTGTGTGCGTGAGCGAGTGAGCGAGAGTGTGAGCGAGAGTGTGTGCGTGAGCGAGTGAGCGAGAGTGTGAGCGAGAGTGTGTGCGTGAGCGAGTGAGCGAGAGTGTGAGCGAGAGTGTGTGCGTGAGCGAGTGAGCGAGAGTGTGAGCGAGAGTGTGTGCGTGAGCGAGTGAGCGAGAGTGTGAGCGAGAGTGTGTGCGTGAGCGAGTGAGCGAGAGTGTGAGCGAGAGTGTGTGCGTGAGCGAGTGAGCGAGAGTGTGAGCGAGAGTGTGTGCGTGAGCGAGTGAGCGAGAGTGTGAGCGAGAGTGTGTGCGTGAGCGAGTGAGCGAGAGTGTGAGCGAGAGTGTGTGCGTGAGCGAGTGAGCGAGAGTGTGAGCGAGAGTGTGTGCGTGAGCGAGTGAGCGAGAGTGTGAGCGAGAGTGTGTGCGTGAGCGAGTGAGCGAGAGTGTGAGCGAGAGTGTGTGCGTGAGCGAGTGAGCGAGAGTGTGAGCGAGAGTGTGTGCGTGAGCGAGTGAGCGAGAGTGTGAGCGAGAGTGTGTGCGTGAGCGAGTGAGCGAGAGTGTGAGCGAGAGTGTGTGCGTGAGCGAGTGAGCGAGAGTGTGAGCGAGAGTGTGTGCGTGAGCGAGTGAGCGAGAGTGTGAGCGAGAGTGTGTGCGTGAGCGAGTGAGCGAGAGTGTGAGCGAGAGTGTGTGCGTGAGCGAGTGAGCGAGAGTGTGAGCGAGAGTGTGTGCGTGAGCGAGTGAGCGAGAGTGTGAGCGAGAGTGTGTGCGTGAGCGAGTGAGCGAGAGTGTGAGCGAGAGTGTGTGCGTGAGCGAGTGAGCGAGAGTGTGAGCGAGAGTGTGTGCGTGAGCGAGTGAGCGAGAGTGTGAGCGAGAGTGTGTGCGTGAGCGAGTGAGCGAGAGTGTGAGCGAGAGTGTGTGCGTGAGCGAGTGAGCGAGAGTGTGAGCGAGAGTGTGTGCGTGAGCGAGTGAGCGAGAGTGTGAGCGAGAGTGTGTGCGTGAGCGAGTGAGCGAGAGTGTGAGCGAGAGTGTGTGCGTGAGCGAGTGAGCGAGAGTGTGAGCGAGAGTGTGTGCGTGAGCGAGTGAGCGAGAGTGTGAGCGAGAGTGTGTGCGTGAGCGAGTGAGCGAGAGTGTGAGCGAGAGTGTGTGCGTGAGCGAGTGAGCGAGAGTGTGAGCGAGAGTGTGTGCGTGAGCGAGTGAGCGAGAGTGTGAGCGAGAGTGTGTGCGTGAGCGAGTGAGCGAGAGTGTGAGCGAGAGTGTGTGCGTGAGCGAGTGAGCGAGAGTGTGAGCGAGAGTGTGTGCGTGAGCGAGTGAGCGAGAGTGTGAGCGAGAGTGTGTGCGTGAGCGAGTGAGCGAGAGTGTGAGCGAGAGTGTGTGCGTGAGCGAGTGAGCGAGAGTGTGAGCGAGAGTGTGTGCGTGAGCGAGTGAGCGAGAGTGTGAGCGAGAGTGTGTGCGTGAGCGAGTGAGCGAGAGTGTGAGCGAGAGTGTGTGCGTGAGCGAGTGAGCGAGAGTGTGAGCGAGAGTGTGTGCGTGAGCGAGTGAGCGAGAGTGTGAGCGAGAGTGTGTGCGTGAGCGAGTGAGCGAGAGTGTGAGCGAGAGTGTGTGCGTGAGCGAGTGAGCGAGAGTGTGAGCGAGAGTGTGTGCGTGAGCGAGTGAGCGAGAGTGTGAGCGAGAGTGTGTGCGTGAGCGAGTGAGCGAGAGTGTGAGCGAGAGTGTGTGCGTGAGCGAGTGAGCGAGAGTGTGAGCGAGAGTGTGTGCGTGAGCGAGTGAGCGAGAGTGTGAGCGAGAGTGTGTGCGTGAGCGAGTGAGCGAGAGTGTGAGCGAGAGTGTGTGCGTGAGCGAGTGAGCGAGAGTGTGAGCGAGAGTGTGTGCGTGAGTGAGTGTGAGAGTGCGTGCGTGAGTGAGTGCGAGAGTGCGTGCGTGAGTGAGTGCGTGAGTGAGTGTGAGAGTGCGTGCGTGAGTGAGTGTGAGAGTGCGTGCGTGCGTGAGTGTGAGAGTGCGTGTGTGCGTGAGTGAGTGAGAGTGTGTGCGTGAGTGAGCGAGAGTGTGTGCGTGAGCGAGTGAGAGTGTGTGCGTGAGCGAGTGAGCGAGAGTGTGTGCGTGAGCGAGTGAGCGAGAGTGTGTGCGTGAGCGAGTGAGCGAGAGTGTGTGCGTGAGCGAGTGAGCGAGAGTGTGTGCGTGAGCGAGTGAGCGAGAGGGTG